CCTGCTCTTGCTGAATCAGAGCTGCTCAGGACACGGCGAGGAGCAGGTCTAGGTCCCCAGGAAGCTGCTAGCAGGACAAAGCAACCTCAGCAGCTGGGGAGCCAGCCAGCCCTGCGAGGAGGATTTGCTCAGAGGAGGCTGTCACCCCTGCGGCTGGACACAGAATATTTTCCTTTCCCGCATGATTCAAAGTGCCGATGCAACATCCATGTGCTGGAGATAAATGGGCCAAGAGGAGCAAACCTACCCCTCAGCAGGGCATCCCTGGCTCGGGGCCGGCTCCTGAGGGATTAGGCAAGGCAGGGAGGCAGTGCCGGCAGGGAGGAGAGCGGGGCAGGAGGCGGGTGTTCTGCCAAGCCCTTGCCGAAATGGAGAGTCACCTGGTGATAACTCGGTGTGGGCTCAGGTGTGATGAGCCCAAAATAACTGACACTGCTCTGCGGCGTGTTGTATAAATTCTCAACTAAATTTAAAAGAAAACACGCGCTTGAGTTCCTGCAAGCGCTCGGCACAGGCATGAGCCCTGGGCTTGAAAGCCACGCTCAGAGCCAGCACTGACACTTGATTAGTGTCTGCTAAAAATAGCTCCTTGCGTAGGTGGAAGGAGAGCTCGTAAGCACAAACACAGGATAGACAGACACGGGGGTTTTTGGCTGGGGCACCAGGTGAGCAGCAGTGGGACAAGGGACAGCAGCATCCCCGGGAGAAGAATGTCTGCACCCGGAATCCTTCTTCCAGGCTGCAGGAGCTCAGTGCTGGAGGAGCCCAGGATTTTCTTTCTAGACCATGAATGAATGCCCCCATCGTCCTTTGTGCATAAAGTTCCAGCAGCCCTTCCCTGAGCAGTGCCGTTGGCCTCCTTGAGGGAGACAAGACCAGGTGGGGGTCTTCAGGAGGGTTTGCCCCCAGAGTCCACCATGGGGGTGAAGATCCCACAACAGTTCCTTGGGGAAAGGTGGGAGGAAAGCACCTCTGCTCCCCTCGCATCCTTCATCCCACTCCACACACCCAACCTCCTTGAAACATCATGGATGCAGCTTCTCTGTTCCCTGATAATAGGCCTTGATGGGTAACATGTAGGAAGTGGCCCAGGGAGGTGTGTGGACGGAGAACTGGGTGCAATGGGGCTGTGACCCCCCACATAGAGCATCAGAGGGTGTGCTGCACCCGTGGACCATCCCATGGCCCCGTGAGCCTGTGATAGACAGCAGCTGTAGGATACTCAGCCATGGGAGGGGACAACAAAAATTGGGGTGTGAAGGCTGTGGGGAGGAGGAGGAGGCACCACCAGAGCCTCAGACCGCCCCGTCTTGCTTTGCAGCACTTCCAGGCTGCTGAATGCCACCCACGCACCCAGGCAGTCCCCAGCACCCTGGCCGGTGGCTGGCACACCCATGATGGCACAGCAGAGCGTGGCATGGCCCCCATGGCCACCACAGGAAGGTCCAAGTGACCCGCATCCTGCCCACGGGCATGGCCACAGGGACCACGCAGCCCAAAGGTCTCCAGGACCCTTGCATCCAGGGTGATTCTTGCTTTTAACCTGGTACATCCGTGATTTTCCCCAGAACATCTGCATTTTTCCTTGGCGGGTCCACGGTTTTCCTCAGATCCGTATTATCCCTCAGCAGATCTGCATCTTCCCCCAGGAAATCCCTGGTTTGTCTCAGAAGATCTGCACTTCCCCTCAGATCCACATTTCTCCTCAGATTTGCACTTCTCCTTGGCAGATATGCATTTTTCCTGACAAGATCTCTATTTTACCTCAGAAGATTTGCCCTTTCGAGCAGCAAATTCACATTTTTCCTCAGTAAATACAGGTTTTCCCTCAGCAAATCCACGATCTTCCTCAGTAGATCTGCGTTTTTCCTCAGGTCTGCACTTTTCCTCAGTAGATCCACATTTTCCCTCACCACACCCACGTTTCACCCTGGCAGACCCCGGTTTTGCCCCGCCACGGCCAGGTTTCACCTCAGCACACCAGCTGTGCACCTTCACCAACGCTTCCCCCATGGCGGGCTGCTCCTGCTGCTCCACAACACGGCGTCTTCCCCTCCCCTCCTTCTCCGCCCCCAGCTTGAGGTGGCCATGGAGAATTTAGCACCCAACGCCATGGCGGGTGGCCTCGATGGCGGGTGG